TCTCGCTCTACAAAAGCAGTTTGACGGGGCTGCTCTCCTTACTAGGGAGCCTGTATTGCCAAGCATCCACTTCAATCATTTATCATAGTTACTTCATTGAGCCCTAAGAGGCTTGGGTTTCTTTAGTATTTGTTAGCATGACTCTGCTTCATCCCAAACAAACTTCTTCCATACATCCAATTTCCTTGATGTCTTTCATCCTTTCCTTACTATCTTTTCTTCTCTTTACTAAGTACTGTTTGGCAACTCTTCAGCAAACTAGATTTGGTCCAATAACCATCCTGACAGGCCTACAATCTACTTACTGATCTCCAAAGACAAAGTTATTTTTAAAAAGACTGCCTAACATGAGGTTTTTAAATGTACACTTTTTTTTAACTAAACAAGATAACCGGATCTTCAAAGGTGCCCCCTGAATCACAGAGAAATTACTTTCACCTTTGTTAGTTGGTGCCCAAGTAATATGATTGTAATACAATTAAGCTAATGTTCTGATAACAATTTATAAAACATAAGATCATTCAATGGTAGAAAACAGACATTAACAGGGTAGCTTGCATTTTAAGGATTGACTTTGGGAAAGGGTAGTGGAAGTCAGGTTCACACTAACATCAGAAAAGTGGAGAAAGTAAATGCTGGTGATCTGCATGGTGAGATCCTGACATCCACTGAAAGACAACAGTACGTTAATATGCACTGTACTTCTAAGAACAAGAACTTCATAGGGCTAGAAGTATTCAGCCAAATTGGTGCCCATCCAGCTGACTGAACACTGGTAAATTAATTATAAAGTACCAGTTCAAACCAACACACATGCTTTCACAATGTAACTTACTGTGACAGGAACTACAGAGGCTCAGAATTAAAGTATGGTTACAGAATATTACTAAAAACACTTATCATTTGTTGTAAGACAGTATTATAAGTCCTGAATTCTGATCAGTTAGTACACTTATTACTTTTGCTTAGTAACAGTGTATTTTACAGTTTAAACAGTCAAGCATGGGCTGTGCAACAATCATGAAAAAAGATCAGGGCATATCAAGTTAACCTTTCAAAGCAAACTTTCCCGACCTTTCTGAAAGAGGAGAGTTGAAGCCTTTTCTCAGTAGTCCCCTAGTTTGCTTTTTTTTATTCCAGTCTTCTGTGACCTTCTCTCATAATCTATTTTGTTTCTCAAAAGAAACAACAGGGAACAGATCTGCAAAGTTTCACTATCAGTGTACTCAGGGAAAGTTAAAATGAGCAAACCAGTTTAGGAGCAAGATTTGTAAAGATTTCTGTGGAACAAATAAGGTAGCTTAGAAAGAATTAAAAGAAATGGATGACAGAAATTAATCATAAGGACAGTGATTTCCCAAAAAAGTAAAACTTTAAAAAAAAAACCCAAAACCCAAACAGCTTTTAAGATTGAACTGTATTTCTTGGCATAAGAAATGTTTGCTTTTAAGGAAAAATATTTTGAGTCAGTGTTAATTTTATTTCTTATTACTAACAAAATGTTATTTCCTAGTTAGAGCTTCTAAGGGATGAGGTACTTTCTGAGATAGAAGGTTGTACAGCTGTTTTAAAGAAGCACTGAAATACAACATTACCATCCCACATATTACCACATCAGAATGCCTTCCTGAGACAACTAAGCATTGCAGCTGAGGTGTTATGTCTAGCCTTTCACAGCAGCTTATCTTTCTTATTGGTAAATAAAAAACCCCAAGCATATTATAGTTAGAGGGCTGAGATTAAAAGAAGGATCCATTACATTTATATCCTTAAACTTACAACTGCACTTGCTTAGCAGAAAATTGCCCAGGAGTCTTCAGGCCACACAGACTCTCAGCATACCTGCAAGTAGATACAGGTTAAACACAAAGTTCCCATGGACTCATGTCTGGAGCACCAGAGAGGCAAGGCTAGAAAGAATTAGGAGTCACACATTTACCTGACAGCCCACACTCAGTAAAGAAGAGACATAGAGGGCAACACTTTGTATGTGAGAATGACTGCCTCTCCTTTCAGCTGAAAATGCTCCAATCTTAAGCATTACCAGGCATATTTTAAGGAAATTCATAAATATGTAGGAGGGCAGTGTGCTTAGTGCACAGAAGCAACAGCACGTAACATTGTGTGGGATGTAAAGACCAATCTCTCAGAGTCTCTTTCAGTCACTATTGCCTTTCAAGTTCCCACTTAATGCATACACCTATAGTAACATGGAGAAAAAAAAAAATATTCTGCAAGTCTCATTTAAACCTCCAAAGGAACTCATCTGCTTTGTTCTTAAGGCACAATGAACTTGTACATGCAAACTGTCCTGGAGCATCCAGGTAGAGCTCTTTATTCTAATTATTTTAACATCCTAAATGTAATGGGAGAACAGAATTGAAGACTGATAGCCACTGGGCCCTCAGAAAACAACTCCAAAGAAGCGTTTTTGCACAGACGCATGAGGCTTTTGCGCAATATATGATTCTTCTAACAAATTCAATGTTCTTGGAGCAACTCAAGGCTGTAGCAACTGTGTATATTACAGATGTATGCCTGTACACCATTGGGGGAGGAAAGGTGAACATGCAGACATGCCTCCGGTAGTTTTATGTTCACAGAACAATCACAAATGTTCCATAAGAGAGAGACAAGTAATGGCCGAAGCAGTAACACAGAGGGGCGTGGATAAAGACAGTTTAATAAGTAAAGCAAAAGCCACACACACAAGCAAAGCAAAACAAGGAATTAATTCACTACTTCCCATGGGCAGGCAGGTGTTCAGCCATCTCCAGGACAGCAGGGCTCCATCATGTGTAACACTTACTTGGGAAGACAAAACACCATCACGCCGAACATCCCCCCCATTCCTTCTTCTTCCCCCAGCTGTATATGCTGAGCATGACACTATATGGTATGGAATATCCCTTTGGTCAGCTGGAGTCAGCTGTCCCAGCTGTGTCCCCTCCCAGGTCCTTGTGGACCCCCAGCCTGCTCGCTGGTGGGGTGGTGTGAGAAGCAGGAAAGGCCTGGACTCTGTGTGAGCACTGCTCAGCAGTGACTAAAACATCCCTGTGGTATCAACACTGTTTCCAGCACAAATCCAAAACATAGCCCCACACTAGCTACTGTGAAGAAAATTAACTCTATCCCAGCCAAAACCAGTACAATAACTAACTGCTGTTTTCAGAAAGGTCTTACTAACCACATCAGAAAGCAAAAAGTAAAAAACAGTAGGGTACTTTCCTCAGATCTGTGGGTGGAGGAACAAAGCAGTAGGTTCAAACAGCCTCCCGTGATAGTAAAGGCAATCCATAAGATAAACACAGTACTTTGTGTAGTCCAACAAAAACAAGCAAAAATAATCAGAAATCCACAAGGTCCAGATTATTCAAGAAAGTCAGAAAAGCAGATGGATTTTATGTAAGAACTTAAATTTTCTTTGGTAGAAAAGAAATGAATGCCAACTTAAAATTAAATGTTTCATTTAAACAAGCCATATAAGTGAACCAAAATAATTACAAAATACTTATACTCACCAAAAGATGTTTCCAACAAGTATTGTTTTTGCTGCCATATTATTCAATGCAAAGTAAAACAGAAAATTATCTGCCACACAATTCAGAGTTAGAAAAATGTCTCAGAATCACATTTGATTTTGTATAGATAATTTATATTGAGTTGAGAGAAGGACAAAGGTGTCACAGAAAGCAACATGAAAGATAAATACTTTCATGACAAACTGAACTGTCAGAATTATAGCATCTTATAAGAAAGATTTTTTACAGTAAGACTTAGTTCCCTCTAGCAAAGCAAGGGAGTTAATTTTAACTGTTTAATAATAACTGAAAGTAAATGAAACTGTTCTACCATTTCAGGCAGGTCCCTTTGCTCCAAATATTCCTCTACTAAGCTAGGCCTAGAAGGCATGCTTACAGAACATTTGGGTGTTTTATATGCTAATATGGGAGGGGGAAGCTTTTACAAGACCTACATATTACATCTCCCACAGGAATCATCTAATCATTCAGTTAAATACAGTCTTCAGCATTCCCAGTGTTAGTCTGCTTGTTTCTGGGACAAGGTAGGAGGGATTAAAGGGGAAGAG